AGGGACTGCTCTCATGCTTGAGGAGCAGGCAGAGAGCAGAAGACAGTGGAGTGCTTTGGCTGTTAAAGCATTGGTGATTCTGAATGTTTTATTCTAGATTCTATTTTACCAACGTTTCCTTGATGAGGATAAACCTTCCCATAACTGGATGAGTTTTATCATGAAGTCCCTAATCTAGTATCTGGGGTGTGAATCCTAAATGAAGTGGTAATGTTTTATCTTGGGGGGAGGGGGTTAACATAGGAGAAAATGCAAATTGCATTATTTAGTTTTAAGATGAGAGTAATTTTATAAACTGTTATACTGCCTTTTTAGGACATAGGGAAGAATAAGCCTTCCCAGGTGTAGCTGTGGTGTTCACAGCAGCAGGCACCCAGATCTGGGCTTGCTCTTCCACCCCGAGGTGGTGCATGTAGATCAGCAGGGGGGAGATGGTAGTTTTCCACCCGGAGGTTGTTTGAACAAAGCGTGACCCTCTTGCCCACGTACATCCTGAGCAGTGACGTATCTGTGACTTTTTTAGTTAAGAGTTGCTTTACTGGTTTTTAAAGGTGAGAGACTTGAACTTCCAGTGAAACCCAGTGCTGGAGATCTCTCTGGTGAGATGCCCAAACCTTGCCAGATGACACTGAAAATGGAAAACCCCCAAGTCTCTATTTGTCCACAAAAGATCTGTGGTAGAAAGAGCGCAAACTTGCCTGGTTTTAAAATTTACCTTCCAGTGTGAATGTTGGTTTCCCACTCCAGTATCTCAGCTTTTCCCCGTTTCTTTCCTTTCCGTCCTGCACATCATTTACTGACGTTAACTCGTGCTCTTTCATTCTTTGGCTTTTGCTCCCTTTAACAATAAATGCATGTATGAATAATTTTGACAGTTTATTTACTTTTGATGAATCAGTCCTCGGACTGCTTTGAAGTCCTGTGCCAAAGGAGGAATGAAACACAGAGCAGCTGCTGGTCCCCTGGGACACGGCGGCCCCGGCTGGGCTTTCCGGGCAGGCTCCAGCCTCGGCCACCTGGCACAGATCTGTGCCAGGCTGTGAGCTGCGTGTCCCTTCTCAGGGACCGTGCTCCTTACTGCCGGGGTCCTTGCTCTGTGTCTCTGACAAGCTCTTCATGGTAAGTCGCTCCAAAGTACTTAGTGCCCGCCGCGTGCTCTGCACCACTCGTAGTTTTACAGGTTTGGTAGCAGCACCCTTGAGCCTCCGCTGCCTGAGGCTTCGCAGCCTCCCTCCATCTCCTCTCTCTGACATGCTTCACTGACCTCCCCATGCAAATTATGTCACGTTTAAACTATTTGCCTTCCAGCCCGGAGGTGCTGGATTGAGCCTCTCACTGGGTCTCTACACCAGCAGCTCTGTTTCAGCAGGGAATATAGCCAAGCTCGGACCTCGCCAAAGTAGAAGTTTTTTAATAACTGCTGTAAGTCCCCTTTTTATTACAGATATAGCTGACAATATAAATGCTTGTGTGTAAAGCAAATCCATTTGGGTTGGCTCGGATATGGAACACAGCTGTATAGTGCTTTATGATTTTCAGGGATTCAGGGAATTTAAGGTTGTCAAATTTGACTTCCTGTCTACCACAGGGAATTACATTTCATTCAGAAGCCCCACACTCAGCCTGCTGGAATCAGTTGAACTGATGTGTCTGACAGAAAGTCAAGCCGCAGGTGTCAGCATTTTGCTGTCTTGTTACCTATTTAGTGATTAACACCTTCATTCTTTCAAAATAAGACAAAAAAGAAATCTGACCAACTTCTAGGCTGTGATTCTTTTCACAACATCCTGTACAGGCTGAGCAGAGTTTATCACATTAAAATCATATTTAGATTTTTTTTAACTGGGTTTGACTGTGGATAGAGCCAAAGCCTGGCTCTGTTTCTGCTGCAACAGGGGGAAAATTTCTAAATCATGTATTCTGGTATTCTGATTACTCTTCTTTGGGACCATGGTGCCTTTTTAATCAGGACAGTAAATCTTGTCCCAGAATTCTGTACTTTTGTACGTTAACAGTTGTTGACTTTCCTTTTTGGTGTGTCCCAAATAAATTAATATAACATACCTCTGGGCTTTTGTTTCTTCTTTCTAAAGGGGGAGGAAAGAGGAAACTGAAGCTAAAGTAAATCTCTGCTTCAGCTCTCCTTCCCAGGCCCTTGCAGGAGCAGCTGGGATGCATGCAGGCGGAGCTGCTCCTGTCCAGACCGTGTGGGGTGGTGGTAGGGAAGCTGCAAGAAATGGGAATCTGGCACAGAGACCAACATGGAGCCCTTTTTTTCAAACATGCTGGAACTTGGAGCAGCTGAAGGTAAGGGGAGAGGAGTAAAATCTCTGCACATGGTGGCAATGTTTCATGAGGACTCTGTGTGCCTCAGGTGTGGTGGGATTGGAATTGGAGACAAAGGTGAGGCCTCCCTGCCTTCCTTGTGTGATCCCATGCATGAGTGTTCCACTGCTGCCTGTTCTATCCTGACTGTGGTTCAGGGATGTTGTTTGAGATGAGGGGCAATTGTGTCCAAGAGAGACAGCAATGGTTTGCACCACAGGACTTCAGCAAGGAAGGGAAATTGGAAAGGAGGAAATGCTGGAAGGGGCATGTTTGCATCAACGGCTTTTGCAGGAGGGAACTGAAGTGCATCCTGGGGGCTACAAATACTTGTGCTGGATGCTGAGTCACTGATTTTACTGGGTATTTGGGGAGGAACATTGTAAACCTTCACCCCTTGAGTCCTTCTGGTTTCTACAGGGGGAGCAATAGGAAGGAGAGGGCATCCTGAAAGCCCTGCACCCCAGCCTGGGGTCCTGACAGCCAGGTAGGGCACATGCCAGCCCCAGGCAAAAGCTGCCGTTTTGCAGCCTTTACAAGTTCCTTAGAGCTGCCCAGGCCAGCCAGAGTGAGGTACAGAAACACCAGCCTGATTTCCCAGCATGGATGTGCCTCTCATGGCCACTGCTCTGCCTCCAGCCCCTCTCAGAAAGGGGAAGGAACACAAAGAAAACAACCCAAAATGCAAATCATGGCACTACTGAGTGGGCTGGATGTGGAAAACAACGTCTGTGACTCAGCACAGAAAGAGTCACAAAGCTGGAATTTAAAACAAGTCCAAGCTGAACTCTGTGGGCATATGGCTCATGAAGTGCTGGGCAGTGCCTCCCCACAAGGGAGCTGGGTGGGCAGGGGGGAGTGCCAGAGCCTCGTCCTAGACCAGCTGTGCCAGACAGCTTAACACAGGGTGACAGTGATAAATTGTGGCACTGCAGGTGGGATACTGGGGAAAAGTGTTCCTGGGAAGAACAGGGCAGACCTGTGAGGCTGTGTCACAACTGTGCTTGTGCTCAGCACCAGTGGCCGGGCTTGGGCAGAGCTCCAGGAGGGGAGATGAACCTCCTGTGTTACCTGACATCCACATTTTTTCCCCTGGGGGGATGCATGGCACAGGTGGTGGTGGAGCCATCCCCACTGTGGCAGAGCTGGGCAGAAATCCTGGTGTGGGGCACAGGAACCTGGCATGACACCTGCCCTACCCCCATCCTATGGCTCTCACTGCCTCCACAGGAAAAATCCCCCTGGATGCTGAAAGGAGCTGCAGGGCGAGCCCTTCCAAGTGCAACCACACTAATTTATTAACCAGACACGTGCAAGGGTATTTCCTGCTCTCACTAAGGGTGTTGTCTTGTTATTCTTCCTGAGTTTCTTGACAGCAGATGCTTCCTCCTGGCACAGCTTTGGAGCCAGCAGATACTGCTCCATTCTTTTACGGCATAGCAATGAAAGTTCCTCCCTGTATCCCTTTGTGCTGCCCAGCAGCGTCCCCTCTTGCATGGCACTCTGGTCCTGCTCAGGTCAGTGTTTGCCCCGGGCCTGGGGACAGCTGTGCACAGCCACAGCACCCCTGGCAGAGCCTGCTGAGCAGCCCAGACACACCTTCAGAGGAGGGCAGCTAGAAATTGATCCTGGGGAAATCCAAATGTCTGGGAGTTAGGGTAGGAGCTGTTGAGCTTTCTCTTTTACAGCTACCTGGTACAGCACAGCCAGGCCCCCAGACTTTTCTATGCCTGATGCTTTCAAGGAGCCAGCTTCTCCCTGGCTCCAAGCTTTTTGCAGCTCCATATGCTCAGTTTTGGGGAGTGGGTATTCACAGAGCTTTGGGCTGCACCTGCCCAGGTATTCCCTGGGCGCACTCGTGGCACTGCCATGGCTCTGGCAAGAGGTTTGCTCGTTGAGCATCCTCAGTTGTACTCCAAAACACCTTTCGTGGAGTTTCTTTGTGTGCTTCCTACTGCCCCACAGAAGCGGCCTGCAGGAGACCAGTTTGCTGAACTGGCCCAGTCTCCAGCAGCATTTTATATCCTTTTGCAGGCCAACATCCCCAAAATCATTCACATCTTGGCTCCTCTGTGTCTGGAATGCATTCATTATATGAGTACCCAGACAGTTCCTCCTGCAGTACCCTGTGTTTCTATTTTGAGACATACCACATTGTCCATGAGAGATGCTGGGAAGGGAAGTGGGCAGTGCAGGGGGAGGACACATTCAAAGGCACCCTGACTCTCTTGCTGCAGTCACACCCCCAGCTGTTGGGCCCTTACTTCCCACATGCTCCTGCAGACGAGTTTCTGGATGAGAGAAGCAGGTCCTGCGGAAAGTCCAGAAATTTTGGGAGATGTGTGGGTGACCGCAGACATGAGAGAGGTGGGGTTCCCTCGCCAGGACCTCACTGACCCCCTCTCCCTGGTCCCCCCGGGTTGGGTGTCCTTCACCGGCGGCACAGCCGACCCCACGCTGGCTGCTGCCCGGAGCTGGGGAGGCGCCAGACCTCAAGCCCAGGGCGTGGGGACAGGCCCAGCGCCGCCGCCCGCGCGGGAGGGACGGGTTCGGGTTACGGCCTCGTACAGAGATGAGTGGGGCTGCGGGAGTCCAATGAGGTTTCTGGTGCCGCGGCCGGGGTGTATTAAAGGGGAGAGCACGGGCGGCTGCGGGCTCCGGCAGCGTTCCCGGCCATGGCGGGCCCGGGCAGCGACGGGGACCTGCGGCGCCTGCTGAAACTGCACCGCACCGAGATCGCCATGGCAGTGGACGACGTCTTCCCACTGCTGCATGGCCTGGCTGACCACGATGTCGTCCCTGACCACATCTTCAAGGTGAGGCTGCGGAGCAGGACAGGACGGTCGTGCCGTGGGGGCTGGGGCCGGAGGGCAGCCCACAGGCCGTGCTGTGCCCGGCAGGAGACGCTGAGCCGGGCGGAGCGGGAGGGCTCCCACCGCGCTTTCCACGCGCTGCTCACCTGGCTGCTGGGCCGCGACACAGCCGCCGTCCGAGACTTCTGGGCCGTCCTCTTCAAGGACTACAACCTGGAGCGGTACTCCCGGCTCCGGCCTCTCCGCGGCGCCTTCCCCAGAGGTAGTAGGGGGTCAGGTGGGACTGGCACCCCCGGGGGCTGACAGTGGCCAGGGGTGACAGCCAGGGTGCTGGCCTCTCCCAGTCCCTATTATTCTTGCAGAGGTGGAGCTGGGGCGGCAGCGCCGTGGAAGGCGTCTCTCCCCAAGCCCCACAGCACCAGCCCCACACAGACCCCAAGGCAAGAGGAAAGCTCCTGAGGAGCGGGACAAGGCCCGGGCGGCACAGCCCGCTCCACGGCACAGTGCCAGTCCTGGTATGGAGACCCCGAGCAGGATGGAGATGGGGCAGGGTGCTGTCCCTGAGGTATTGTGGCGTGCCCCCTGATGCCCATCCTCACAATGCTGCAGGGCCCCTGGTGAAGGCAAAGACTGTGAAGAAGCCGGAGGGCACAGATACCCCCCGCACCTCTCGTGCCAGCGGTGAGTGCCGAAACCCCCAGGGCAGCTTTTGCCTGTGTGCCCTGTTTGCCCACAGCCGTGGGCAGGGGGCTGCCCACCCCACTGAACCACTCCCCTGCCCGCAGCTCTCCAGGCAGTGGCTGCCTCGGTGCAGAGAGCGGTGGCTGTGGCAGGCGGTGAGGTGCCCGTCAGCCGTGGGGCCATCGAGGGCATCCTCATTAAACATGTGCTGGACCCAAGTAAGTACAGCCCAGTCCAGCCACCTCCTGCCCAGTTTAGTCCCCAAATTCAGGAGCCATCCTCAGACAGGGAGAGGTGGGGAAGGGGAGCTGGAGCTGCCTCTGGCCTCTCTTGCAGGCAGCTCCAAGACAGGCAGCAGAGCCGGTGACAAGCCATATACCCCAACTGCCTGCGAGGAGCCAGAGGCCAGGAGCAGAAGCCACAGCCTGAAGCCCCCTGCCCAGCCCAAGGCATGGCGAAGTGTACAAACACCCCCCTCATATGTTTTCACCCCCATCTTGTGCAGCTGCCAAGGCTGTGGCAGGGGGTTGTTCCTGCATGGCATCATAGCCATAGCCTGGGGGTGTCCAGCAGTGCCTCTCCAAACCCCTTCTTGTCTCACCAACAGAACAGGGAATCCCAATTGCACTCCCAGGGCCAGCTGCAAGCAGCCACTGTCTACAGCCAGGACCCTGTGCCCCACCAGGTGAGCCATGGATGTGACACCTAGTGCAGCCCTAGGAGGAATTGTTTGGGTTCCCCTGGCATGTCCATTTGTTCTGGCCTTGACAAGGAAACACAGGTTCAGCTACTGGGGTTTCACCACATTACGACCCCCAAGAAACAGGCAATTTTACCACCCTGAAAGGATTGGTATGTTTGGTGCAGAGTGGGTGATGCAGGGAGAGAGTGCAAGGGAGGTGAAAGACCTTGCCACAGCCATGGCTTCAGCCTGTGAGGGTGGCAGTGACCCCCAGCCCACTCTCCCGGGAACAGGAGAACGAGGATGAGTGTGCAGCATGCGGTGATGGTGGTGAGCTCATCTGCTGTGACGGCTGCCCCAGGGCCTTTCACCTTGCCTGCCTGGTGCCCCCGCTGCCCCACGTCCCCAGGTGAGTCCCAGGGCACACAGGGATGCCAGTGCCCCCTGCCGTCCCTCACTGCTCTGCTCCCACTGTGCAGTGGCACTTGGCGATGTGGCTCCTGTGTGGAGAACGTGACTGAACCAGGCCAGCTGCTGGAGGCAGATTTGCCTGTGGAGAGACCCCCTGAGATCCTGGGGGAGGCGGCGCGGGACACCCAGCCGGGTGGAGTGGAGGGGAGCGTCTGCAGCCGCTGCTGCACCCGGATCCCCACTCCCCACCACTGTCCTGCTCCCAGTGGGGACCCCAGGTGAGTTCCCCATCACGCCCCACATCCCAGCCTTAGTTCCTCCCTGGACGGTTCTGCCCTGACGGACTGTGTCACCCCTGATGGTATAGGGGGCTACTGCTATGCATGTCCTGCACGGGCACCCTGGACACAGGCGGTCTGGGCACCACCGCAGCAGCTGGAGACCAACTGCTTCCAGCAGCCAAGGTCAGCACAAGCAGTGCCAGGAGCAGGGTGGGAGAGGAAGAGCAGGGCCTAAGGGGAGCAGGAAGGTGGAGGTGGGTCAGGCAGGGTGAGGGATGGGCTGACACCACATGGAGGCAAATTAGTGAAGCTGTACTGGGGGAGCACAACCTGGGCCCACACCAGGTAAAGGACTGAACATGGTTAGCAACCCACACCAAAAGGTGAACAGGCTGAGGGCAGCAAGGGAGCTGGAAGGACATCTCTCCATGCACAGGCAGAGGATGGAGCCCTAGGCACTGACCCTGTGCTGAGCCGGGAGGAGCTTGATGCGCTGCTAGGTGAGGTAAGACTGCGTGTGACACCAACAGGCCAATTCCATGCAAAGGGGACCATATCGCTGGTGTGGGCAGAGGGTGACATGGGGCTGTGGATCAGGCAGCATGTGCATGGACAGAGGGAAAGGAGGTGGAATGGGAATAGAAAATTAACATGTCGGGCTGTCCCACAGAGCACATGGGATGGGATCTTGCACTGGGCGTTCCAGACCATGGCACGGCCGCTCGCAGAAACACAGGGGCACCTCGCCTAGCGCACACACCAAGCAGCAAACTCCACGTGGCAAGCCATGAAAAAGCAGCCTCTGAGCCACATGTAAAATAAGATGAAAAAAGAAACAATGAGAGCATAAGAAAGTCACAGAATACAACACTCACGGACAACAAAACATCCCAAAATGGCACGGAGAGGAAAATGGCAGGCCACATCAGTGACAATCAACAGAGAAAAACCACAGTGAAAACGTACATAAACAAAACACCAGAGAAAAAAGAATAAGGTGAATTTAAAATAACGTGATAAGCAAGAGATGAGAAAAAAAAATACTATGGACAAAAAATAAGAAAAAAAAAAGAAAAAACTACCAATGAAAAAAAAAAAAACACACCGGAAAAAATAAAACTACAATATAGTAACCGTAAGATCAGAAAAAAAATTACTATTAAAACAAACAAACAAACAAAAAGAATATAAAACCCCAAAAGGAAAAGGGACTCAGAGAGACATCTATCACATGTCCCCTAGAGGGAGGCAAAAGATGCCTACAGCACCCGGTAT